GGGTACGTACTGGTGAACAAATGAGCTTGCACTGCCCTTGTGTTCTTGTGATCTCCTTTTAAATATGTTAAGAAATGAAACAAGGTTCATTTGGGGCAGTTTGGAAGCCCACAGACACAGGTCCTGTGCAAAGCCCACACGAGCTTACCCACGTGGCAGGGACCGGGCTGGAGCTCCCAGGCTCGTTGCACATCATTCTCCCCAGGTGCAAGGGTGATGGTCATCAGGCTGGTGGGGACGGTCTCATGGCTGAACGCTCTGATCTCGACCCCGCTCATTCTGTCTTCCTAGATCCCCCGCCCTTTGTCCGGGGCAGAACAGGATGGCCACGGCCCAGGTGAGTGCCGAATTTCCCCCCTCCCTTGCTTCCAGGGCACTTGAGGCAGCTTCGGGGTACCTGTACCGTACCCCTGACAGATCCGTCGCTCCCTTCTGCCGTGGCTGTTTTCCATTCAAGCTGTAATCCACCTCCGGTTTCTCCGATCCTTCCCCCCCACCCCCGCCACAAAAACCCAAGATAGAAAACAAGAAAAGAGAGAAGGAAAGTGACTGTTCTCATCTACTTCTTCCTCTGGGAAACGCACCTCCTCGTTGTTCTTCTGCTTCTCAGGGAAGCTCGTTGAAGCCCATAGACTCGCTTTTTCTGTGTCTTCGCTTCCACCTCACTGTTTGCTTTTTCATTATATTCAAAGAACGAAAGTCAATCCATGCTTGACGTTCCGTGCGCTGAAGAACGGTCACAGCATCCCTATTTCTTCTGCCCCCCGGGGCCACGTTTCTCCTCAGAGCGCCCCCCCCCCCCCGTAACAGTGTGGGGATGGTGTGGGGCGGCTGCGTTTCTGTCAGCTTCAGGAGCTGACTGCAGGTCCATAGGCCGTGGTGGGTGAGCGTGTGCACAGATGCCGTGCCAGCCCCGCTCCCATCTTGTTCTTCCCGCCTGGTTCTACCCTGGGTGGTGTTGCTCCTCGGTGCAGAAAGAAGATTTCCGTTCGCATGTGGTGCTCCGCATGTGTCATTCAACTGTTGCTCTCTTTGTGCATAGTCAGCATTTGGATGTTCTTTTTCTGTTCTGTATGGAGCCTCTTGGATGACTCTTTATGTGTGTGTTCAATAGTGCGGGTATTTAAGGAGGATACACCTAGAAGTTGGATTTTGGGGTCAAAGGTATTCATACTTGAGTCGGCTGTCCCAAATCCTAGACTAGTTACGACTCTCCCAAAATGTTAAAGACCAGATAATTTCTGTGTTCAGCTTTTCCAGGCTGTTGAAAGTTGAAAAGGAAACCAGTTGGTTTTATGGAGCCACTTACCTTTAAATTTGATAAAGATATTCCAGAAAATAAGTTATACCCCTGATTCACTTGAGACCATGGACGTCAAGATTCTAAACACATAGTCTGAACAGAGTGTTGATAACGTTGAATCGAGCGCTGTGCGAAATGATCTGTACGTGTGGTAAAAAATTCACAACAAAAGCTTGTTCGACAAAAGGTGAAAAGTAATTCTCCCCGTCACCCCATGCCCTGTGTCCTTCCTTGTTTCACACGTTTTTGGCGAGATCCCGTATGCACGTGTCTTTGCACCTAAGAATGCCATTTGCTTTGGAACTCTTCCTTCTTCACATATTCCAGCACGTTCTGGGCTTTTCCACGATCATTCCGTTTCACTGTGTGTTTGAACAACCCCGGGTTTTTCCACCTGGGCCCGCTTGACATTGGGGGCCAGGCAGTGCTGTGTTGTGGAGGGCGGCTGTGTGCCCTGGACGCTATCTAACCGTCCCTGCCCCGGGCTCCCCTGATGCCAGTGTCCCCAACCTCGTCCCCCTCCGTGGTGACAGTGAAGAGTTTCTCCAGACATTGCCGCCCGTTCCCCGAAGGGTTAAATCACCCCCGGGTGATACTCCATTTCCAAAACTGGCTCTGTGATATTCCACTGGCTGGAAATACCGTCCCGTATATTTGCCTTCTGCCGGGGCCGTACGCTGAGGATAGTCTTGTCTTTTGACATCATAAACGATGCGGCGATACTCAGCCGTGTTCGGTTCAGTCTGTTCCTCGTGAGCTTGTCTCACCTGCAAGATAGCTGTCTGGAGGTGAGGATTCTAGGTCAGAGGCTCTGCGCATCGTGAATTTTGACAGCTGAGGGCCTCCGAGCCAGGTGTTGCCCTGCGCTCACCAGTGTGGTCTTTGGTCCCCAGCACCTGAGCTGTCACTTGGGAGGGGTGACAGGAGGGGTGGCTGCTCTGAGAGCCCCACCTTCCCGTCACTGTCCTGCTGCCCAAGGCGTGCCCCGGCTCGTCTCCATCTGCAGCGCTGAGTAACCGGCTGCCCCGTGAGGCCTGTGGGGGCCCTGTGGGTGCCACCTGTCTCCCGGACTGAAGACCGGCCAGTGGGGGGCGGGCAGGGGGAGATGCAGGTGTCAACGGGGGAGGGGGGTCCTGCTCTCTCTCTGATAGGAATGTGGGCACTCAGAAAAGTGAGCGTTTTTGTGGTGCCAACAAGACCAAACACACACCTTTCCTTCCTTACCTCAGTCGGCTGACCAGGTCAGACTGCCACCCTCCTGCTTCCTGTTCCCTCTCATGGTGGATTAGGCACGATTAGCAGTCGGGTGACCGTACAGCCGCCTTCTATAGGGAAACAGCCCGGTCCTTGCCTACTGTGTCTTCCCTGCCTGCCTTTCTCCAGCATGTCTCCTCTGCCCTCACACAGAACACTTTATCTCTGACACTTCTGGTCACCAGATGCGGAGAAGGTTTCCGCACACCAAACAACTCGCTGCCGCACCAGATGGGTGTCCTACACGTAAGTCAGCTTTGACACTGTCTCCCTGGAGATCACATTGGATCCCATAGGTTAAGGGTTCAGTCCCACCGCACGGCCAGCCCCATGCCCCCCATCAGATGCCAGACCTGAGTTGTAGGCTTTTGACCAGCGGGCTAGAGGTCAGAGGTCCAGTGACGCCCTCCTGGGATTTGATTATTTGCTAGAGCATCTCTCAGGACCCGGGGACACGCTGACTTAACATTTACCAGTTTGTTAAAGGGTATGATGGATGGAGCCTCTGGAAGGTCCCTGTATGAGAGTCACAGTACAGTCCATGAGGATTTGGGAGTATAGCAACACTATCTTCTGCAGGCAACTATTCTTTGGAGAAAAGTGTCTAGCTTGCATTGAGGCTCCTCCCTCTGCCCTTTCTCAGCCATCCCTCTCAGTTAATAACTACCCTGAATTCTAATACCAGAGAGAAAACCTCCATAGATTGGATGGTATGTCTGTGACCCTGGAAAAATAAAAAAAAAAAAAATTTAAAAAAAGGGCAATTAGAAACTCCAGGAAAATAAAGCACTAGGCAAAAAAGTAAATAATTATTGGAAATAATTTGCATTTTCCTAAGAATTTCATTTTATATTTTCTTGTTCATATTATTCAGTTATTTTAAGGACCATGACTTGGGGTGCCTGGGTGGCTCAGTCGGGTGGACGTCTGCCTTTGGCTCAGGTCATAATCCCAGAGTCCTGGTAACGAGTCCTGCATCAGGCTCCCCGCTCAGTGGAGGGCCTGCTTCTCCCTCTCCCTCTGCCTGCTGCTCCCCCTGTTTGTGCTGTCAAATAAATAAATAAAATCTTTAAAAAAATAAAGACCATGACTTGTGTTTCCTATGTCTGAATTACTTGTGGGTCTGCTTTCTGCTGTCCATTTTTTTCTTAAGTTGACTCTGGGTGTGCTTGGCAATTTTCAGTCAAATACCACAGTGCGTGAGAAATTGTATAAACTCTAGATGAGCTTTATCTAGTTCCTGACAGGCAGTTATATAAATTACCTTGATTCAGTTAGCTAGTGAGCTAATACAAGCTGAGGTATCAACCTTTTAAAGATCTGGTTTTCTGGTTTATATTTACTTCCTCCTAATTCCTAAAGTCCTTCAGAGATTCCAGCTGAGAGTCTTGGGGCATTTACCAGGGCCCTTCATCACTGGTGGGATCTTAAGTCCAAGTTTGATCACCTTGGTACCTGGTTCTGCTGAAAGCTCTTCCTTGGTACCTCAAGCACTTGGCTGTTGTGCATCTCTGAATTTATCTTACACCATTTACCGACCAGCTCCTTGTGGGAAAAAGCTCTATTGGGCTTTTCTTCATTTCTCGTCCCCAAGGTTTTGCCACTCCAGTCCTACCATCTTAGCTCAGTGTTCCCTCAGGTCCCAGAAGCCAGCTGCAGTTCTTTGGCCCATGCGCTTCCTCCACATGGCTGCTTACCTCATCAGACCAGCAAGGAAAGGTTCTTTCCAGTCGGCTAAGATGGAGTTTATATGACATACTCACAGGAGCAACATCACGTCACTTTTGCCATCATCTATTGTCTAGAAGCAAGTCTCAGTTCTGCCCACACGCAAGGGGAGAGGATTATATAGGGCACAATTCAATGGGGTCACCTGGGATGTGCCCGATACAAGTGCTGATAATAGGACAAGAAGAGAAGGAAGGAATGTTAGCAAGTAGCATTCACAGATATCACAGTGAAATGAGCTTTATATTTGGTGTCGGAAGTCAGTTTCGTCTTGTTACTTGTGGTTATCTTTGATCATTCACTACATCTCATTTGTAAAAATCTGTTAGCTGATAACTTATGTCACAGGATTTGGTGAACTATGGAGGTAGTTTTATTTATTTTTATTTTTTTAAAGATTTATTTGACAGAAGACACAGTGCGAGAGGGAACACAAGCAGGGGGAGTGGGAGAGGGAGAAGCAGGCCTCCCGTGGAGCAGGGAGCCCAATGCAGGGTTCGATCCCAGGACCCTGGGATCATGACCTGAGCCGAAGGCAAATGCCTAACCGACTGAGCCACCCAGGCGCCCCCTGAGGTATTTTTATTTTTATAAAAAAATCACATACAAATATTAAAATCACAGGATACCCATTCTCAACATGCAAAGTACATTCTCAAAACCAAAGACAAAGCTGAAAGGGAAAGTGGATGGAAAGAATCAAGTATACACAGGATTACCTTAAACAATTTATTGGTAGTTTCTGGAGACTATGCTCAAAACATTTAAAAATCAATTTCCCAACACCCAAATGATAATTTGCTTAATAATTTGGTATATTTCCTTCCTAGCTTTTTGTTCTATGTGTCTACCTACCTACATACACACACCTAAAATAGATATAAATATAAACCAAATATATATGTGCATACAATTTTACTCATCATAAAGTTGCCATTTTTCTACCACCCAGAATCACTGATACAATAGTGCCTATCCTTCCTCTTTTTTTACAATGTAAACCATATGGTATATTGTTTTATAATCTGTTTTTTCACTTAACAGATTACCACAAACATTTCCTCAAATTCTCTGATGTACAATTTTCCACTCATGGGTAAGAATTCTGGGTAAAAAACTGATCACATTTATTACATGCTTCTGGAATTATGCTTTTGTAACATTTATTATATTAAAGGAACATTAAATAATACCTGAAGAGTTTCTGACATTCTTAACATTTATAAGGTTAATCCCCAGGATGAAGTGATACATAATGAGGTATAACGAATAGTGACATTCTCTCACTCTCAAGTATCTTAATAGGTTTTATCTCCTGTATGACTTCTCTGATGTTTAATGAGAGTTGACTTCCCACTGAAGGCTTTTCCACAGTCCCTGCATTCATAGGGTTTTTCTCCCGTATGAGTTCTGTGATGTACAATGAGAGTGGATTTCACACTAAAGGCTTTCCCACATTCACTGCATTTGTAGGGTTTTTCCCCTGTGTGGATTCTCTGATGTTTAATGAGAGTTGACTTCCTACTGAATGCTTTTCCACAGTTACTGCATTCGTAGGGCCTTTCCCCTGTATGAATTCTCTGATGTTTTATCAGTGGTGACTTCTCGCTGAAGGCTTTCCCACACTCATTGCATTTATAGGGTTTCTCTCCTGTGTGAGTTCTGTGATGTACAATAAGGGTTGACTTTTCACCAAACGCTTTTCCACATCTTCTGCATTCATACGGCTTCTCTCCTGTGTGAGTTCTATGATGGACAGAGAGGTGTGATTTCCCACTGAAAGTCTTCCCACATATGCTGCATTCATAAGGCTTCTCCCCTGTATGAATTCTCTGATGAACAGAGAGGTGTGACTTTCCCCTGAAGCTTTTCCCACATTTACTGCACTCATAAAGTTTCTCTTTTGTGTGAGATCTCTGGTGTTTATTGGGGTTGGCTTTCTCATCAAAGGGTTTCCCATGTTTATTACACTCAGGTTTCTCACTGTTACGAGTCCTTTGATGCATAAGGCTGGACTTACCAAAGTGGATTCCTTCATAAAATGCTTGCCTAATGTGTGTCTTCTCATGTCTAATAAGGTGATATGAACTCTTAAAGGCTTTTGCACATTCACCACATACAAATGGTTTCTCTGCTGTGTGAGTTCGCTTGTGTTTAATCAGAGTTGACTTCTGGATAAAGGTTTTTCCACATTCACTGCATTCATAGGGCTTCTCCCCTGTGTGAGTTCTCTGGTGAGCAATGAGGGTTGACTTCTGGCTGAAGGCTTTTGCACATTCAAAGCATTCATAAGGCTTCTCTCCTGTGTGAGTTCTCTGATGTACTACAAGGTTTGCTTTCTGGATAAACACTTTCCCACATTCAGAACACTCATAGAGTTTCTCCCTAGTTTGAATTCTTTGAGTTTTATTAAGTGCTTGCTTCTGGTGGAGGGCTTTTCCATGTTGATGAGGCTCAAAAAATTTCTCTGCAGGTTGAGCATTATTGAGATTAGAATGGAAGCATAATTTCCAATGTGCCTGACATTCATCATCTTTCTTTCTTACATAGCTTCTGTTTTGACAAAGAAAGTTTAAATTATGTTTTGAACACCTTCCCCAGGAATAATATTTAGGGAGTCTTTGTCTTATAGAAACAAAGTCTGTGTTTGGATAAACGATTTTCCTGAAGGTTGCGAATTCTTGGCCACTTTGATCCTTCTGTGTTTCCTTGTCTACTAATGCAGTTTGCCACAGAAGTTGGTTTTGGCTTTCCTTGTGGTTGTCTATCTGGTCATCAACTTGCCAGAATTCTAGAAAAAATTGCAAAGGACTCATCAAACTTGTAAACATTTCTACTATAATGTTATGGGATAAAATTCGTTCATAAACATCTTGCTGTGAACTCCTATCAATAGGACTTGAGCTGATGTGGATGGGCTCCCTCCATGACTCACTCTGACTGTAAACACAAAGAAATGCTGGCCCATATTTAACAAAAGTAATTTAATACATAGTCAAGCTCAAAACCAAGAAATGTATTAGGTGTCAAAAGTGAAGTGGAAATTTAAAGTGATGGGGTGAACAGAAACTGAAGCTTGAGGATTTGCAGTGAAATCCAGACCACAGGGCAAAAATGTTCAGGAAACTGGTACGTAATTCCCACTTACAGCTGGAATCACAAGGGGCTTCCATGTTTGTTAATGCGGAGCTAGAAAGACTCCCTACTGGTCAAGGAAACTGGAAAGAAAGATATTATAAGCAAAAGCCTAGTAATGTAACTCAATCTGAAAATATCATAGTTTTAGTAAAGAGCCCACAAGCTGAAAAATTAACATAAAAATTGGTCCTGTTATTCATAGGTTCCTAGGAGTGGCAAACTCTAAAAGATACATTCTTATGTTTTTATAGCTTAGGACTCACAGAACTTCTATGGAAAACCAATTCTCACTGAAGAGTTCACAGTAAAATAATTTAAACCTCACAAGGAAATGAACCATCTTGAGAGATAATCAGCAGATACATTTAAAGATACCCCACTCCTAGAACTGCAGCTAAGAGAACAATCTAGACTTTAAAATTTCAAATATTCAAAGAAAGAGGGTAAGAGCTATATTATGGGGTAAAGAAGGGAACATTTGAAAAAAGAAACATAAATAGAAAATATAGGTATTATTAAAACTCTAAATAGGTTGAACAGCAGACTAGTCACAGATAAAGACAGATTAAATGAATCAGATGACAGACCTTAACAAGTCACCCAGAATGTAACATAAAGAGCTAACAAAATGGAAATAGGGTAAGACAAAGAGAAAAATGTAAATTCCACCATAGGTTTAATAGAAAATCCAAATGGAAAGAATAGAGAGAAAGGGACAGGGGCAATATGCCAAGAAAAGGATTCACAGAGCAGTCCTGAGACTGCCATACTTATAAAGGCTAGGCTGCAAGGTTAGGCCCTGGCTGACATCTGGGAATTTGGAGTTCAGGAATGTCTCCACTATTCCCTAACTGATAAGGCTGCTTGTACAAACAATGTGATTCATGTTGAACATTTCCTTTCCTTCTGTGAATCTGGAATTTTGGTATGTGGTAGGCAGAGCCACTGAGGGTACTGAGTTTCCAATGGGCTTCCCTGGGCACACATGTTGTTGCATTTTCTCTGCTGGGAGAAGTGTGCCCTGTATGACCCGACAGCATAAGGAATCCTGTACATGGATTTGTCCAGACTCTGCTAGTGTCTTTTCCCCTTGTGATCTAGTAGACTATCCTTACTACATTGCTTTAATAAATCGTAGCTATAGATACAACTGTATGTGGAGTCCCATGAGTCCTTCTCGAAAATCTCTAAATATGGTAGTGGTCTTAGGGACCCCTGAGCTAGGCAGTATTTGAAGAGACAATGACTGATAGTTTTCTAGATGGAAGAAAGGTACACATCCTACCACTGAATGTCCAGAGTCCTGAGTGTGGTAAATAAAAGCAAAACTGAACCTGGACATAGTTTAGTGGAACCACAAGACTTTTAAGTCAGAAAGTAAGTATGGAAAGCTACCATGGAGAAATTTTTTAAATCACCTACAAAGAAACAATTAGATCAACATCAGACTTCATCAGCAATAAAAGAAGTCAAAAGATTAAACAGTGTAGTGTATTCAAAGTCCTGAGAGAAGCTTGATTTCATCTTAGAACTCTATCCCCAGATAAATTATCACAAAGAAAGATGACAAAATAAAAATGGTTTTGGACAAGAAAAGGTAGGGAATTTATCACACACAAAGACTGGCTAACAATAATGCTTGATACTTGAATATTTCAGGAGGAAAATAATCACAGGGAAAAAGCTGGGGGGTGTAAAAATGCAGTAAGGGCAGGAAGAAAGAGGTAAAGAGGGGCACCTGGGTGGCTCAGTAGGTTAGGTATCTGACTCTTGATTTTGGCTCGGGTCATGTGGAGCCCCGTGTCGGGCTCCGCATAGCACAGAGTCTACTTGAGATTCTCTCCCTCTCCCTCTGCCCCTACCCCTGCTCGCTCTCTCGCTCTCTCTAAAATAAAGTCTTTAAAAAAAAGAGGTAAAGAAAAAGCAGGATATATAGACAATAGAAGAAAAGAAGAAATACTAACATAGTAATGGCACAATAAATATATATTAACCCCATTAGTTAAAGGGCAACCATATTAAATTGTATTTTTCAAAATCAGCTTTATGTTTTCCAAAGATAATTAGAGCAAAATGAGAGAGAAATGTTGAAAATAAAATTATGGAAAGAGATGTACCTGGTACTGAACAACCAAAACACAGGTGGTAAAACAATGCTTATGTTATATAAAACTGAATGATCTTGATGCCAAAAGCAAATAAGAACAGAATATGAGACTGTTACAAAACAATTTCACTTAAGTAGATGCAAAACTCTTTTTTTTTAAGATTTTATTTGTAACACAGGGCTCAAACCTACAACCCTGAGATCAAGAGTCACATGCTCCACTGACTGAGTGAGCCAAGTGCCCCAAACAGATGCAGAACTCTTAAATATACAAGGCAAACTGATTCTATGGATGGGAGAGAAGAAAGGTAAATAATATCCAGTAATGTTAAAAATGTACATACCCTACTATGTATTCCACTTGTAGTTACACCACAGAGAAAATTCTGCAAGTGTGGGCCAGGATACATGTACAAGAATGGCAATAAACATAAACAACGAAATTTCCCAGTAATGGAGGTACGGATTGATGGACTGCAATACTCAGATGCTGGAATGCTATACCAGAGTTAAAATGAATGAACTAAATGTAATGTATCAGCAGAGGTGAAGCTCAAAGGGCAACGCTAAAGACAGAAACAAAGTTTTAGAAAGAGCCCTACAGTTCAAGTCCAGTAATCTGGTAAATTTACAAAAGGAACACTATATGATTACAGATACAAATATATGTACTGCAAGTATAAAAACATGGATTAGAAGGATATTCACCAAATTCATGATACTGTTTGCTTGGGGAATGAATGAGAGGAACAGGCCTCAGGAGAGGAAGAGGCCTTGACCTTTATTTGTACACCTCTATTTCTTTTATTAAAGAAACCACCACCACCAAGTATCAAAATATTGATATTTGCTACTTCTGGGAGGTAAGTACAAGGGTTATTAGTTACAATGATGATTTTCTGTACTTTTCTGTAGTTTTAAGAGACATGCCTAAGGCAGGACTTCTGGAAAGGCAGTGAGGATCTCAGTAAATCTCCCCCATGAAAGCAATGAAAATACTGGCAAAATTATCAATATCCATCCTTTCAAGACTTTGGAAATTAACCAAAGGCATACAAGGAATCACGAAGCATTTATTCAAGAAGAACCAGTGAACCTCAGTGAGAACAGCCAAATCTGTAGTGTTTCACTTGGCACTACTCACCTCTTCTCCCCATACCCCAAGCCAACGGCTCCCCAACTCTGGCCCATAAGCGGTGAAAACTGGCAGCCTCCCAGCAGCCTCCCAGCAGCCTGAGGGGCTGACGTGTTTTGGGCCTCCATCAAAAGCCCCATCCTCATTCTTTGACCTAACTTGGAGTTCTGCTCTAGAACAGACACAGTATGTGTCTGTTCTAGAAAGGACACGATATGGGAACTCAAAGCCACATGAAGAAATAAAGAGCACCAGTAAAGGTAGTGGGCAGGCAAGTGCTAACACAGCAAGCCAGGCGCCTGGCTCAAGTCTGGGAATTGAGCTTTCGGAATGTTCCCTATGTTGATAAGACTATTTTGCTGGCTTGGGGCACTGAACACCTGTTGTCTTCTGGGAGCCTAGATGCCTGACCATTAGAGGCTGATGATTTTTTGGCCTGAGGCGCCTGTTTTTACTGGGTCAACTTGGAACCTTCCACAAAGTGAAAAGGGCTTTTTAAAAAACCGTGCTGGCCACTTGGACTTGAAATGTAGCCATCCAGCTCTGCAGCATCTTGGCTCTGCACGAGAAAGGAGCAACTATCCCTGTAGGGATTTATCTCCTACCCCAGTGCCCAGCAATACTGGTGAAAATGATCCCACATCAGGGCACACGGAGAAAAGTCAGAGAGCATGAGATGAAGGGGAGGAGGGGGTTAAGCTTACAGACAGAAAAAAAAATTGATACCAGGTATCAATAATCAGAATAGATTCAGAGTTCTCAAAAGGAACACTGAAAATCAGAAGACAATGGTGCAATGCCTTCAAAAGTCTAAGGGAAAGAAATGTCCATCCTAGAACTCTACTCCAAGCTCAACTCTCCATCTAGGACAAAGATAACAAACACGTCTAGATATTAAAAAAATCTCAAAAAATTTACCTCCCATGGACCTACATTCTTTCTTAGTTAGGTACTGGAAGAATGTGCTCCAATGAAATATGGAAGAAGGCATGGCATAAAGCAAATGGGGACTCCAACAATGCAGAAAGTCGAGGGAATCCCCCGAATAATGGTGAGGGATATGAGGATGGCAGTCACATGAGCAGGAATGAGATTAATCCACCTAGAAGGGAGAGGGTCAAATGGCTCCAGACAAACTCAGGGGTAGAACATTGATGGAACCCCTGATAGTTCTGGAAGCATTCAGAGTCACTCTAGATAGCTGGATATGGAGTATTAAAGTTGAACTGGTGATAAGTACATAGAGAAAGCAGCAAATAAAAGAAACAAAACAATTATTAACCAAAGGAAACAAAGTTATACAGGAAAGCTAAATGAATCCTAGATTACTACATGGCTCAACTGTGTCCAGTGTTTACACAGTCATAACGTTGTAAGCAACAGTACTGTCAGAAACCAAAATTGTGGTATA